AACCATGAAAACAGAAAACATAAAGTTATAAGCATACTAAACATAAACGAATGGGAAAATACAAAATAAACAATTAATTGGTTTAGAAAGATCGCCAACAAAAAACTATTTTTTCATACAACTAAACATGAAATAAAAGAGTTATCAAGCGAAAAGGAAAATAACACTCATATCACAATAAAAACACAAAACACAAAGCGTACACTTAGTAAAGTTAAATAATAAAACCTACTAAAAATACATATACAGTTAACTAAGCACTCAGACGAGCAGACACAAACACACAAACATACACGTGCAGATGAGTGTGCGCGCGTATGTTTTTATGTACCTATGCAAAAACTGGTTACACAATGTCAAACAATGAGCAAGTATGACTATATCAGAATTGCTAATGGCTGCTGTTGATAGACCGCTGTGGAGGAGATTCAATATGGCTTCTGCATTCGCCCCTCAACTCGCCTATGATTACAACAGTCAAGGGGATGATGATGATGAGGAGGAGGATGCATATATACGTGCACATAAATAAGCACACGCATCCCCCCCGCGCAAACATGCTTGCACAAAAATACAATCATAACCTAAATGAAATGGTCAAAACAATAGCAATAAACCAGAGATCAACGGAGAAGATGAGGTCAAGAATAAAAGAAAAAAAATTGAAAAAAAAAGGAATGCAAAGGAAGAGAAATCAACAATCAATCAATACCCATCAAGCGAAAAGGAAAATAAAACACTCACACTACAATAAAAATACAAAAAAATTGAGAAATATCAGCAGTTCAACTCTGCTCTGACGAGTTCTCACATCAATGAAACCACGAAATTTCGAAGTAAACATGAGTGAAAACGTTTTCAAATTAATTCTTTTAAGGATCTATCTCTATCTTCGATATTGAGCACTTTAACACAACGCCTGCTTGACTTAAATGCCTCATCAGCAAACCCACTGAAAAAATGGCAATTTTGGCTTAAAAAACAGTCTTTCAAATTATATATATATATATATATATATATATATATATATATATATATATATATATATATATTCGGCTGAGTTATCAAATTTTTCCATCAAAATTAAAGTTCAATTACATTTTATTTGATTATATATTAACTAACAAGCAGCTCTCCGACACCTTATGAGTAAAATTCCGCAGGTTTTGATGTAAAAAAGCTGTTGACGAATTTTTTAATCTGGTTTTCATAAGAGAAAGTTTTCCCCCACCCCACCATTAAAACGTTGTACTGACATCGAAAAAGCTAACAGTCAGTCGGTGCAAGATCAGGTGAACATGGAGGATGTGTTAGAATAAGCCAACCGAGTTCCAAATCTTTTCTTGTGTTATTCTTAATGTGTACAGCCTTGCATTGTTATAGAGGAGAACAACATTTTCCCTTTAACCCACTATGTATGCTGTGCAAATACTAAGTTAATGTCCTCGTAATAGATTTTTCAGTCCTGAGTATGACGATAAACTACATCCCGTAGTAAGGCATCTGGTCGGGAGATTAGAGGTTTTGAAGTGTGTGAAAACACCTTTTAATTGCTGTTGATCCCAGATGCGCTCTCCCCCGGGATGGTAGCCCTGTTAGTGCCCCAGCTATGGATAAATAGTGAACCCTCAAAAACAAAACACTATAAAAGTATAGATTTTTATAGTAAAAATAACAGTAATGCATTTTTATATATAAAAAATTACCAACGATACATATAGATATAGTAAAATTACCAAAAACATATTTTAAAGCAAAATGATCAACAAATATACAAGTTATAGAAGTATTACCAACGACACATTATATAGTAGAATTAATGTTATAGTAGTTTACCAACGCACGCATGGACTCTGCCAGCTATAAATAGGAGCATACATTGCCTTTTGGAGAGAGAAGTTTCCAGCAGTCAGCTCTGACAGTTGGGCTGAACGTTCTTGCTGTAACACTTTCATTTGTATATGTTTGTATTACCGTTTCTGTTAATATATTTGTTTAACTCAATTCCACTCTTTGTGTCTTTATTTCTGGCCCCTAACAATGCAACAAGAATTACCAACAATACATTTTATAGCAAAATGACCAACGATAAATTTTATAGCAAAATGACCAACGATAAATTTTATAGCAAAATGACCAACGATAAATTTTATAGCAAAATGACCAACGATATATTTTATAGCAAAATGACCAACGATAAATTTTATAGCAAAATGACCAACGATAAATTTTATAGCAAAATGACCAACAAAACATTTTATAGCAAAATGACCAACGATAAATTTTATAGCAAAATGACCAACGATAAATTTTATAGCAAAATGACCAACAACAAATTTTATAGCAAAATGACCAACAACACATTTTATAGCAAAATGACCAACAATACATTTTATATATAGCTGAAGGCATACAATTGAGTTCAAAACATATTTAGTTGAAGTCATGAAATTATGTTCCAAATATTTAGATTTTGGCATTAAATAAGACATAGAGATCTTGATATACCGCTAAAGGAAATTTACCAGTAAACAAATTGATTCTTAAGTTCACGTACATTTCATTAGTTATGATGATATATTCGTCATTACAGTTGCTTCCCAAACATGAAAATTGCTCATGACTCAGCTTAATATCATATAATAATTGTGCTTTTCTCTCTCTTCGTTAGTTTGCCCGACCGTTACGCCCTGCAATAAATCATAGACTATACCATTTTGATTACGTGGGAAAACAAAAGATATATCAGAGACGCTACTTGGTTTCAGTGAAAAAAGAAAGAAAGAGAAAATAGAATTACTTAACGTCTGTTTCAGTGAAATGGAAAAAATTTCAATTTCAGATCTTTTCATTTGTATCCCCTAACTTCTTAAAAATAACAACAATCATTCATATTTATGATTGGTATTGTAATATTTTATTAAAATTTGTTATGCGCTAAACTTTAATGATACGACGTGGGAGGGGGGAGGTTATTGTCGTAAATCTTACCATGAGCTTATTCAATCGCTAACTGAAGAATTAAGATTCATCATAAATTTCAAATAGGGATACCGTGAAATTTTCACCGGTTAAAGCTAGTATATATTATTAGCTGCATTTTGATATTAACTTTTTATTGTATAACTTTCGATCTATGAGATTTGAAATTCAGCACCGAATTAAGTGCATGGACTTTGAATTTAATTATGTCGTAAAATAATTGTTTCAAAAAATAAAAGTTTTTTTCATCATTAAGTTAGGGCTTTATTGATAAAACTATGCAAATATCTTTCTATATGGAATTTTGAAGAATTTGTTTGCTATCCACGGTCAGATGATTTCATCTCGAGCATTCAATGAATAGAAATTGACACAGCGGACCCCCAAAAGAAAATAAACAATTGATATGAAAGTGAGACGATATGAAAAAAAGAAAAAAAAAAAGAAAGTTAGACGGCAAATTAGAAATAAAAAAAGGAAAACAAAAAGTTTTGGATAACAAATATAGGAAGGAAGAAAAGAGAGAAAAACAATAAAAAGATAAAAATGAAAAGTGAGAAGAAAGAAAGTTGAGACAGATAAGAAAGGAGAGGAAATAAATATGACTCGATAGATGGGGATAAAAGAAAGAAAGAAAGAAAGAAAGAAAGAAAGAAAGAAAAATAAAAGGTTTTGGACAACAAATAAGAACGAAAAGGGAAACAACTGAAAGAAAGAAAGAAAGAAAGAAAGAAAGAAAGAAAGAAAGAAAGAATCAAACAAGTTTTGGACAACGAATAAGAAAGAAAGAAAGAAAGAAAGAAAGAAAGAAAGAAAGAAAAAAGAAAAATAAAAGGTTTTGGACAACAAATAAGAACGAAAAAGGGAGTTTTGGACAACAAAGAAAGAAAGAAAGAAAGAAAGAAAAATCAAACAAGTTTTGGACAACGAATAAGAAAGAAAGAAAAGAAAGAAAGAAAGAAAGAAAGAAAGAAAGAAAGAAAAAAAAAGGTTTTGGACAACAAATAAGAACGAAAAGGGAGACAATTGAAAGAAAGAAGAAAGAAAGAAAAAAGAAAGAATCAAAAAAGTTTTGGACAACGAATAAGAAAGAAAGAAAGAAAGAAAGAAAGAAAGAAAGAAAGAAAAATAAAAGGTTTTGGACAACAAATAAGAACGAAAAGGGAGACAATTGAAAGAAAGAAAAGAAAGAAAAAAGAAAGAAAGAAACAAAAGAAAGAATCAAAAAGTTTTGGACAACGAATAAGAAAAAAAAAGAAAGAAAGAAAGAAAGAAAGAAAGAAAGAATCAAACAAGTTTTGGACAACGAATAAGAAAGAAAAAAGAAAGAAAGAAAGAAAGAAAGAAAGAAAGAAAGAAAAAAAAAAAAGGTTTTGGACAACAAATAAGAACGAAAGGGAAACAACTGAAAAGAAAGAAAGAAAGAAAGAAAGAATCAAACAAGTTTTGGACAACGAATAAGAAAGAAGAAAAGAAAGAAAAAAGAAAGAAAGAAAGAAAGAAAGAAAGAAAGAAAGAAAGAAAAAAAAAAGGTTTTGGACAACAAATAAGAACGAAAGGGGGAAAGAAAACTGAAAGAAAGAAAGAAAGAAAGAAAGAAAGAAAGAATCAAACAAGTTTTGGACAACGAATAAGAAAGAAAGAAAGAAAGAAAGAAAGAAAGAAAGAAAGAAAGAAAGAAAGAAAAATAAAAGGTTTTGGACAACAAATAAGAACGAAAAGGGAAACAACTGAAAGAAAGAAAGAAAGAAAGAAAGAAAGAAAGAAAGAAAGAAAGAAAGAAAAGAATCAAACAAGTTTTGGACAACGAATAAGAAAGAAAAAAGAAAGAAAGAAAGAAAGAAAGAAAAAAGAAAGAAAAAATAAAAGGTTTTGGACAAAAGAACGAAAAAGACAATTGAAAGAAAGAAAGAAAGAAAGAAAGAACGAAAAAAGAAAAAAGAAAGAATCAAAACAAGTTTTGGACAACGAATAAGAAAGAAAGAAAGAAAGAAAGAAAGAAAGAAAGAAAGAAAGAATCAAACAAGTTTTGGACAACGAATAAGAAAGAAAGAAAGAAAGAAAGAAAGAAAGAAAGAAAGAAAGAAAGAAAGAAAGAAAAATAAAAGGTTTTGGACAACAAATAAGAACGAAAAGGGAGACAACTGAAAGAAAGAAAGAAAGAAAAAGAAAGAAAAAAGAAAGAAAGAATCAAAACAAGTTTTTGGAAAGAAAGAAAGAAAGAAAGAAAGAATCAAAAACAAGTTTTGGACAAGAAAGAAAAGAAAGAAAAAAAAGAAAGAAAGAAAGAAAGAAAGAAAGAAAAAAGAAAAGGTTTTGGACAACAAATAAGAACGAAAAGGGAGACAATTGAAAGAAAGAAAGAAAGAAAGAAAGAAAGAAAGAAAGAAAGAAAGAAAGAAAGAAAAATAAAAGGTTTTGGACAACAAATAAGAACGAAAAGGGAGACAATTGAAAGAAAGAAAGAAAGAAAGAAAGAAAGAAAGAAAGAAAGAAAGAAAGGAAAAATAAAAGGTTTTGGACAACAAATAAGAACGAAAAGGAGACAATTGAAAGAAAGAAAGAAAGAAAAAAGAAAGAAAGAAAGAAAAAAAAAAATAAAGGTTTTGGACAACAAAAAAGAACGAAAAGGGAGACAATTGAAAGAAAGAAAGAAAGAAAGAAAGAAAGAAAGAAAGAAAGAAAGAAAAGTGAGTGAGATAAGACTATTTTAAAGGAAAGTGAAATAGAAAGAAAGAACGACTACGTGAGAGAAAACTGAAGACAGTTTTTACGAGCATATTTAAGAATACACGCAAATAAAAATATTTTTGGGAAGAAATAGGCAATCTACCATTTGCAGTGATACAATAAAAGTTTTCTGGATGCCGCTGTAATCAGCTTCGTAGGAGTGTCGGTTGAAGAAGTAGAAATTGAACCAAGGAATTGGAGAGAAGAGGGACATGAAGAGAGAAGTAACATGTTGGGATTTCGTTAAAAGTAAAACAATGAAAAGCGAAATGAGACGTGGCGAGTGAAAACTAAAAGGCTTCACACGCGAATGAGGAATTTTATCTCAAAACCTACGACAGCAAAGAATCAGCGCCAACTGAAGGAGCAGGAAACGTCTAACATCAAGCAAAGCACATTTCGAGGCGGACGTACTTATCTGTCAATTTATCAACCTATCTTTAAGGTTCATTTACATATTTTACCAAAATACATCTCGACGTACTGGAGAAGAGAAACATTTTTTCGGGGGGCAGTTTTAACCTCAGATTTCAAAGTAAAATGTTTGCGTACACCCATTAAAAGCACATTGACATACAGTAGAAAATATATACATAAATGAATGTATAAATTTCCAATGGAAAAATCCGGAAATTTAAAAACCAAACAGACGAAAATAATTATGTTTACTAATACTATTTGTAACAATTACATGGTTTTCTGTTTTTAATTTTTTGATGAGTCATAATTCTTGATTTCATAATTTTCATGCCAATAAAATACATCGGCATCATTAAATATTTGGGCTTAACTTTAATTAAATATTGCAATAACAATCAAGTATGAATGAAAGTTACTAAAGAAGTAAAAAGGTACGCTATTTACATTATTCGGACTATTTCCTCATCTTTGTTGCCATATTTATCACAACGTTTCGGCCTTCTTCAAGTGGTTGGAATGTCGAACTGAACCCTTTATTTCGCTCACTGGGGTAGACTGTTCTAGTTCCACTTGCCATGTCTAATGGATGTCAGTTATCAGTTATCTCTTATCTTAGTACTCATAACTGACACCATGCAACAACCAAAATTGAGTAGTTACATTGTCTAGCAGAGTTTTAGATGCAATATCTGTGGCAAGGTTTGTAAATCAAGTGGATCTATTCACCATTTTAATAAGACACATACAAATGAGCTTGATTTTAACGCTAAATTCACATCCACCATAAACGGACTGAAATGCAAGTCTATTGCAGAAATGAAAAAGCACTAAAGAAAACATTTTTATTAGTGTTAAAATGATCGTATTTGATCACGAGTTGGCATTCTATCATATATGTATATATGTATCTATAGTGGTGGTGGTGGGGGGGTTGAAAAGTTCTCAGTTCGAACATGGAGCTCGTCATTTAATTGGATTTTGATATTGCGAGACCAAGAATTGTTCAGTATCTCCTCATCTCAGTCTGATTCTATCTATATATCTATCTATCTATCTATTTGCTCACTCGCCACCCCTCTCTCTGCATTTCTATCGCTCTCTATTTATCTATCTTTAAAGCCATTGACAGCAATGAGTCCAATTCTAACAAGGCGGTTCATGTAAATTTTTTTGGTGTCTGACAAAGTTTATCTTCAGAGTCTGTCTATATTTCTGAGATGAGGTATTATGTACAGTATTTACATTATAGTTCATACCCAGATGTCCTCAAGGACACATGGCACAGTGGATAAAGGCGTTGGTTAGATCCAGTGACAGACCCAAAGAAGGTGAGTTCAATACCTGGTGATATTCAGTCACCCTCCCCACGAGGGTGTCATGTGGCACAAGGCCTTTTTAACGTGGACAGTTCCCAAGCCATTAGGCTCGGCCAAAAAATAGCCCATTTCAATACCTGGTTAAGGCAGTGGAGAGCTTTCAGAGGGAACAATTGGCAGGAGATAACTGATAACTGGCATCCATCAAACATGGCACGTGGAACTAGAACAGTCTACCCCAGTGATCGAAATAAAGGGTTCAGTTCGAAATTCCAACCACCTGAAGAAGGCCGGAGCGTACAACGGCCGAAACGTTGTGACAAATATGGCGACAAAGATGAGGACAATAGTCCGACTAATGTAAATACTGTAAAGTTTATCTTAGTAAATATATTTTTCACTCGCTTTGCACATCTCGAGAGTTAAGTAGTTATTTCATTCAATGCACTATTTATCAATAGATCTAAGTATATATTTATACTATTCCCGAATGCCTATCAGTCTGTTCATCTCTCTTTCTTTCTTTCTTTCTTTCTTTCTTTCTTTCTTTCTAGCTAGCTAGCTAGCTATGTTCATAGCTAGCTACTCAATGTTTCAAATTGTGTCTTTCTCTCTGCATCTATACTATTATTGTTTCTATTGCAACCCGAGGATATTGATCTACGGCATCGCATTACTTAGTAGTCTCGGCGGTTTGTATCATTGCTTACAATGCCTGTAATCAGTTCTCAAGCCCTTGTGAAATTTAGGATAAAGAATATTGAATTCCAAAGACACTCGAGACCCAACCTTTAAATTCTCTCGGTGGTCAGTACATATTGTTGAAAAATATACGATACCTACGGAGTATCAATGCTCAACATTTCTTTTTTTTTTTTTTTTTTTACCTATTTCATTTTCTTCAGTCTCTCGTTGCTTTTTCTACTCCCGATGTTTCTCCGACCCTACTACAACCGCAATGGATATTCCGATTAGAAAAATCATACTTATTATAAAACCCAGGTTGTGTGTGTGTGTGTGTGTCTGTACGTTTATATATTGGATCGGATTTCCTACATTTTTCAGCCGATTTCAACAAAACTTCACAGGACTACGTAAAATTACCTTGCGGTGGTTCTGACAGCGCCAAAAATGGAAAAAATATAATTGTTTTTGGACGAAATCAATTTGAAAACACGATTAAGAGGCATCGCGAGAATGAAAGGGGGACAACTCATATCGTTATACTTATTATAAAACCCAGGTTGTTTTGTGTGTGTGTGTATGTGTTCGTTTTATATATGAGATCGGATTTCCTACATTTTTCAACCGATTTCAACAAAACTTCTTTTTTTTTTTTTGGCGGGTAGTGTTTCTTATTGTCTTGCACACTTTTTCTTTATTTTTACATTCAGAATGCTTTAAAATTCCATTTACAAGACAATTGTTTATAATAAAATTCTATTCAATCAGTAGACTCATAACGATTGAAAACAATGTTTTTGTTTGAGTTTGGGTTTGACCAATTCGTAAAAAAAAAAAAAAAAAACCTAATTAAGACATGCGTGTCTGTCAACCTTAAACAATAAACTTTGTCAATTTTATTTTTCAGTCTTTATGATGGTCGATACTTGATCTATCTCTTACTGTTACATCCCCGGGCAACGCCGGGCTCTACTGCTAGTGTATTATAAAGTGATCGCCAAGAAGAAAGCCATCTATAGACGCGCACTAATTTGTATATAGTCACGTGACGAATTCGTTAACCTGTTTCTATCCTAGGAACATCACAAGTTCAGGCTAGTCCTGAATTTAACCAATAGTTGGGGTGAGAAGAGACTGTGTCATACCTTTCCAGAGTGCATGTAAGAGAAAATAATAGGCGAGCCCGGCATTTGAACTTGGGCCGTTCAGCGGTTTCAATAAAACTGATTTAAAATATGAAGCTTACACACACGCAGAAATTGTGTAGTAACAATGGCTCATTGTGTAATAAATGTGCTTGCTTGAAAAGTAACCCTTTGAAATTCATAGTTTTGCTTGGATTCGAACCCGAACGCTAACCGTTTAATCTCATTTTTTTTTCTCATCCAGAACACACACACACAAGCGCACTCGCCTAAGCATGAGCTTTGACAGACAGCCAGATAGATATGAACGATTTCAGGAGTACACAGACAGTTCCTTTGTATCAGACAGACATATCAATAAGCAATCAATGAGATTAACTTTGAAGGAGACAAACAGATTGACACGATCCGATTATCGTAAAATGATATTTTGTATATTAAAACAGACAATATGAACAGATTGTAAGAGATATAGATTAAGTGACGATATCTATCTATCTATCTATCTATCTATCTATCTATCTATCTATCTATCTCTCTCTCTCTCTCTCTCTATATATATATATATATATATATATATATATATATTAGATTGGTGGATAATTATCAGGCGTTTTTAGCAATATTTATTATGAAAAAGAAAATTCAACAATAACATTTTTAAATGATCATCCCGGAGCGTATGATTATCGACACGTATTTTTAGAATCTGAAAATAAAATGTCTACGAAAAAACTAAAACAGCTGACATAAACGCCTGATAATTTTGCACCATTCATATATATGTATATGTCTGTATATATATATATATATATATATATATATATATATATATATATAGAACAATACAAAATATTTAAAAATTAAAATCTTCAGACACACTGGGTTGTATATTAATATTCCTTCGCTTTTATTATTATTTCATTTAGATTCCTCGACTAGTTTCGGCCAACATGGCCATCATCAGGAGAAAAATAATTTTCTGCTTGCTGGTAGCAGTGAACTACAGAAATGAATGCCTTGATGGAGAAAATGAACTTTTGTCTGTAGATTTCATTTGTTTTTTATTTTTTTTAACATGAATTTTGGTAAGATTTTGTGTTGGTCAAACAGTCTCTTTTAAGTTGTTATTTAAGATAAGAGCTAGATGGGTTCATGCTGCTCTGAATTCCCTTGTTCATTTTGACAGTTTTATTGGTTCCTGGAAAGGGGACGTGCCTCTGTTAAATGTGTGTGTGTTATTTGGTTCTTAGGGAGTGAGTGAGTATGATGTGTGTAAGCGTGTATATTACTATAGGTGTGTGTTATCATTTGGCTCATTAGGGAGTGAATGAGTATGATGTGTGTAAGTGTGTATATTCGTGTGGGTGTGTGTATAAGTGTGAGGCCTCAACACCGTAATCATGTCAGTCTTGTGTGCATGAGAAATGTGGGTAGGTTTTGATTTCTAGGGTTATATATTAATACTATTTATATTGTTAAATTTATGGTTAAGCCCGGCTGGATAGTGCGTTTTTAAACGTTGTATCCACTTATTTTCATGGAACTCTAAAATCTTTCCAATGTTATCTGCTCTGGACTTTTCTATTCTCTCAATTATAGTGAATTTGGCATGGGTTTTAAAATCGTGTTTTTCTAGGCGGAAATGT